CGGATGATAGCGAAGGGTCCGTCACAGAGCGCAAAGTTCTTCGCCTTAAAGTGCACGAACGACGGACAGGTAAAATGTTCCTTGTCAATACCGGCGCGGACGTGTCCGTCCTGCCCAACTCTGCCAGTTCTCGCGATATGCGATCTACCACGACCAAACTGTATGCTGCAAATGGATCTACCTTCAAGACCATCGGTGAAAAAAGAATCAACTTGGATCTCGGACTTCTTCGAGACTTCCCGTGGTCGTTCATAATCGCCGATGTTACAACACCGATAATCGGGCAGAATTCGTTCGTTTCTATGAACTTTTCATCGATTTCCGTCGAAACCAACTGATCGACAATCTCACCAAACTACGATATTTACTAACTGCGCCAACGTTTTCCAAGGTAACCCAGATTAAAATATTCAACGCAAACGACCCCTTTGCTGATTTGTTGCGCGAGTTTGCAGATATCACGAAGCTAGCACCTTGTGGTTCTTCGACCAAATCTACATCTACATCAACCAGTGTTTTCTCGACCGCGACGCTTGTCGCCCGATATGTTGACCGCAGCACGAAACGAATTTAATTTTTTAATAAAGTCCGGCATATGTCGTCCGTCTAGCAGCAACTGGGCAAGCCCGTTGCACATGGTACGGAAAGGCGACGGAACCTGGAGACCATGCGGCGATTATAGTGCGCTTAATGCACAAACTGTACCCGACCGATATCCGCTGCCATATTTATCGGATTTTACAAGCAACTTACGAGATAAGATAATTTTCTCGAAGATCGATCTCCAACGTGCTTTTCACCAAGTGCCGATCCACGACGATGATGTAGCCAAAACAGCCATAACGACGCCATTCGGGTTGTTCGAATTTCGGTTCATGATCTTTGGATTATGTAACGCCGCGCAAACCTTTAAAAGGCTGATAAACGAAGTTCTGCGTGGTCTAGACTGCGCTTTCCCTTATATCGACGACATTTGTATAGCGTCGTCGTCAGCGCAACAGCATCGTCGAGACTTACGCGCAGTCCTTCAACGTCTCCGAGACAACTATCTCGCAATTAATGTGTCCAAATGCGATTTTGGCAAAAGGGAGCTAACATTTCTCGGCCACTTAGTCGACGCCCGAAGGATTCGTCCTTTATCCGAAAGGATCACGGCGTTCCGCGATTTACCGAAACCCGCGATAGCCAAGGAGTTAAAGAGTTTTATCGCAATGGTAAATTTTTACCGCAAATTCTTGCCAAACGCTGTCGCCTATCAAACGCATTTGCTACAGCTGATTACGGGCAACAGGAAAAATGATCGCACGCGACTCGTGTGGAACAGTGAAGCAGAAACTGACCGTTTTGACCGTTGCAAAGCTGAATTGTCGGAATCAACATTGCTCGTGAACCCGGTGTCAGCGGCAGAGTTAGCGTTACATGTAGACGCTTCCGATACAGCCGTGGGGGCTGCCTTACACCAAGTCGTAAACGGAGAACTAGAACCGCTCGGGTTCTACTCGAAAAAGTTGACCAGCGTGCAGCGCAAGTATAGCACTTACGACCGCGAATTGACCGCCGCGTACCAGGGTCTATGCCACTTCCGATACATGATCGAGGGCCGTAAGTGTCACATCGTCACTGATCATCGCCCACTGGTCTACGCCTTCCGACAGAAGCTTGATGTGGCGGATTCCCTTCCAAATAAACGTCCAAATAAAACGCGGAGTATCTCGGAATTCAGTTCCTTTTATTTAGTTTACTTAAACTAATGAATCTAAATATGCAGGCGCGGGTTTTCACTAATATACAAAATGCGAGTACAACTAGCGAAAAGTTACTGAGCGGCGGCGAACGTTTAAGCGGATCGAGTACAAAACGAATTCTCCTAGACGAGAGTTTAATAAGTTCTTATAAAACTATGTAGTAATAGTTAAGTGTTACGAACAAAGCAAAAAGAGGAATGTCAAATTACAATCGCTACGTTTGTGTACACTTGTGCATTAACCCTTATGTTGTAATAATCATACCAAAACCTTACAATTAGCGTAACTGAACCCAACATACCGCCGCCCTTGAACTAACCATGATAAGTTCGACATTTGAACTAAAATTACAGTGTGAAAAATTAGGCAAATTAATTAATTAAGTGTGCATACTTCACGTCTATGGATCTTCTTCGCAGAACAAGTCGCCTTTCGTCGGCAGAACACAAGGCTTCACGATCGGTATAACCGATTCCCCATTCGGCGTCTTCAAAGTGACAACTCGTACGAGTCCATCTGTACCGGGGTGGCATTTTATAACTCTCGCCAGCATCCACTTTGTCGGCGGAGTAGGCTCGTTGAAAATTGCGACCACATCGCCTTTTTCGAGTTTGCGTGAGGAACGAAACCACACTGAGCGACGCTGTAAACTGACAAGGTATTCGTCTCGCCATCGTCGCCAGAAATGCTGTCTTATGGCAGAGATCGCATGCCATTGCTGACGAAGACTGCCACAGAACCCTTGACCCTCAGGTTCTGGGAGTGATTTCAGTGGTTCACCGACAAGGAAATGACCGGGAGTTAGGGCTTCTAGGTCATCAACAGATGTTGAGTTGTCACAGAGCGGGCGGGAGTTTACGCAAGCTTCCACTTCTGTCAGCAGCGTGTTCAACGCTTCAAAAGACAGAAGAGTTTCGCCCAGTACGCGTTTAAGATGATACTTTGTTCGCTTGATACCAGTTTCTCAGTAACCTCCCATGTGAGGCGCAGACGAGGGATTGAAACGCCACTCGATTTTGGAGTCCGCGAAAAATGAACGTAGTCTGCTATCGGCCATGCACTTTTAAAATGCACTCCGCAACTCCTTCTCGGCGCCAACAAAATTTGTGACATTATCGGACGTCATAAGCTTGCAATAACCTCTGCGATTTATTAACCTCTTGAAAGCATTAAGAAACCCTAGCGATAACAGGTCTCCAACATATTCTAAATGCATCGCGCCAGTGCACAGACAGACAAATGAGCAAATGTAGCCTTTAGTAGCCTTCGCCCCTCTTCCATGGGTGAATCTTGCTGCTGGCTTGCGGGCATTACAGAAACTGCAGCTGCAAAAGCAATAGCCGCGTGTGTAGGTGTATGCTGTTGTAAACTGGACAGTAAGGTCTGATGTTTCTTCATTGGGGGCGGCGTTCCAGCTGGCTTGCCTCGTTGTGGTGTACCATTAGCACTGCTGCCATCACTGCAGACTACTAAAATTGCTAATTATACCTATCGGCGTGAATGGGGAATTAGGAGGTGAAGGAGTCAGTGTCAGCGTGAGGGTAGACCCTTGCATACATGCCAAATCGTCAGTAGTATTATTTATTGCAGCCGCTGAAGTTGATTTGCAGTTGTGATAATGTGATGGTGACTGCCGACTACTATCCGCTGATTGATGATGATGCTGTTTTGCTTGCTTTGTGATCATGCGACGTGTGCGGGGCGAAGATGTTATACCAATGTTGCCTATACTGCCACGATGATGATGATGATGATGATGATGATGATGGGGGTGCTGTAGATCCCACGAGTCCCAAAATAATTGTTCAGTCAGTGGTGCCTTTCCTTCATTACCGCTGCCAGTTGCCGCGCCATTCCCACCTTCAAGCATTACCAAGTTTTCCTTACATTTACGCAGGTTTTGCATGGCAGTCGTCAGCCGGCGAATGTCTTCTTCTGTGCGATAACTTGGATTATTGGATAGCAACTGCTTTAGTTCTTCATCACTCTGGTCGAGAAGTTGTTCCAATGTGGACAAGCGGGTGAGACATATGTTAGATGATTCTTGACTTAGACCAACAACTCGAAGCCACTGTTTCAGCTCACTGCCGGTTGTGTGAGGCAAACCGCTGGCTGGTATTCTCTCATTTAAACGTGCTTTTGTTAAGAATAGTTTGGAAAAAAAACATGTGAAAAGATTTTTTCCCAAAACCATTATAATTTTATATATTATGCTTCTCATGAACAAAAGAAAAAATTATATTGGTTTTGGTGAAAAAATCTTTTCACATGTTTTGTTTTTGCCATTGTCATCATCACTTTCCTCCAAAAATGACGTCAGCCTCCGATGTGGTAGCGCCGTTCGGACGTGTCTACGCTAAGCTCTGTATTATTGCCGTGTATATGGTCCTTTTTTGGCGAAAGCTAAACGATATTGTAATTTTACTTGAACACTTAAAGCATGCCTTGTACGTGTAAGTAAAAGGTCGACCGTGGTCGCCCGAAAATTCAGTGCGTTAAATGTAAAGAATTTTTTCATTTAAAATGTGTTAATTTATCGGAAGCCGATGTTGACTTTTTGCATAAAACCGATCGTGCATTTTGCTGCTCATCTTGTACTAAAGTTCGGGGCGACTCACTTCGATCTCCGCCTCCACCCCACACCGCGACCAAGCCTTTGTCGGCTGTGGATGTCGCTGCTGCTCTCGATGCCCATCAGAATGTTCCGAGTCTGCTGTTAGCTCAGAAAAATCTTTGTTTGATGAGAAACACATCTTACTTGAAAAGGTTGATAGTCTCCAAGCTGAGCTTCGCAAAATGCAAGATATGCCAATTAACGTCGTGCCTGCTGTAAACATTGCTGATGCTGACTTGTCTATTGTGCATAATGGTTGCCCTCTCACTCTCACTCCGTCTTCTTCTTCGTCTGCCGC